TATATATATATATATACACACACACACACACACACATATGTATGTATGTATGTATATAATTTTAAATTTCCAATATGCGTAAAACGTTACAAAATTAAAAAATATATGCTTTTCTTATCTACTGTTCAATTCATTTTGGGAAAGATACAATCGCTATTGTTTTATTCATCAGCAATGATGTATATAAATAGTAATATAAAACAATAATTAAAATAAAAGAATTAATTGAAAAAGAATTAAAAACTGACCATAAAATGATGTATTCGGTGATCACGACATTGGCGGGAATGGACGTGAAGGGAATCAATGCCAAGCGCACAAAAACGAACACAATGCTAGCCGATACGATATTAACGATTACATACGACATTCGATATGTTACGATGACTATATGGCATCCTACCGGAGATACTCGCGATAATTTTTCATACGCCGGATTATTTCGGACGATAATAATCACGGAAAATGTGGAGCGATTTGAATGTGACTTTACGCAACGCGTTCAATATGGCTACGTTCCGATATTTATCGATGCTAAAAATCTACAGTGCGCGTCACATATACTGTTCATTAGGTTTACAGCACTGACAGTGAATCTCGAAACGCAGTAGGTTTGTCGCGTGGCTTGAAATCTTCAAAAATTTTTGCACAAATGAGATAAATATATATTCGGACGTCGAAAAAAGAGAAAGTGAAGATGCTCAGTGCAAAAAAAGCAGACACAGACAACACAAACAGATCTTGTATCACGATTTGAATTCTACTATGAAAAGTGCAAGTAGCGCGTTTTTTAAATGGTAGTGTATTTGGTAATAATTAGACAACACAAAGTATTCAAAAGAGAAATATGAGACGTTTTTGGCGTCTAAAAAACATCTTAAAGTCTTACGTCTCAATGTGTTGTCTGGGTATTTAATATAAAAAAATAAAGTTTAATAGCATATTACAATAATAAATATAAAAAAAAAGATATCGAAATTGTAAATCAAACGCAATAGTTTCTTTAATTTTTTTTATCTTTGAGAAAATTTTTTTATGAGTTTATTTAAGATTAAAAAATAATTAAGAGAATAATTTTTTGCCAAAAAATTATTCTCTTAATTATTTTTTTAATTCTTAATTTTACTCTTAATTTTTCCCATACATACAAAGAAAAGATTATACAAGAAAAGAAACTTTTCTTAAGAGAAATATTGCATGGCGGTTTTATTATATGCAAACTTTCAAAAAAAGAACTGCAATATTATCTCTTTATATTTTATTAAGAATTATATATATTCAAACAATACACAATAAGTATATTGATTTAATCTTCTGTCGCATGATGGCGCAATGACGAATTTAAAGATTTGATTTATTTATCTACTTTAATTTGTTAATTAAAGTATTAATTTTATTATCTACTTACGTGTGCGTGTATTTTTAGTGTACGTTAATTTTGCTATTTAATAATGTTTAACAATGTTATTAATTTTAAACTATATTTTAAAACCTCATAAATATGAAATACGTACATAAAAATAAATCTTTTATTTACGATCTTTGTTATTATAAATGACTTCCTCGTCGATATAATGTCCAGCTGATATTCTTTTTTTACTCTTTCTTTTATTATAATGACTAATTACAACAATTAATTTTTAATTATCAACGATAAAATTTTTATGCAATAATATAATAATATTATGATATAAGAAAAATCTCTTGAAAAACTACTAACAAATACAAATTAAGTGATTATCAAGAATCTTCGCAAAAATAGTAATCATGTTGTGTTTCTTAAACTTTTTTTCGCTTATTATAAACAATATCATTTAATACTTTTTCAGAACTTCTCTGAATTCTAAATTTTTAACATTTTAAAGAGTATTATATTGTATTCTTTTATCTTCAAGTCTATCTTAATTATGCTAAAATAATGAACTATATACGAAACGACTACGCAATCAATCATATATAAATAAAACATAATTAAATTCTAAATTATCGCCTGCGTATTAGAGACTTCAGTCTCTGAGGACAGTAATCTTCAATTTCCGTAATCTGTGGCGATTAAGATGGTTTTACAATCTTCAAAGGAAAGGACCTCGCTCCTGGCGAAGATCAAACCACCGTAATCTGTTACTGGCTCGAAACCACGGAGAGTCAAGCTATCTTCCTGTTGTGTACCTTCTCTCTTGTGTGAAAAGACATTCGCTATCTCCCCCCCCCCCTCTCTCACTCTCTCTCTCTCTCTCTCTCTCTCTCTCTCTCTCTCTCTCTCTCTCTCTCTCTCTCTTCTCTGATGACAGGCCGACAGGGGGCCGACGCGAGTAAACAAAAGCGAGTCTTGTTGTCTCGCTGGCCTTAGAATGGTGTCGCACGCAGGTGGTAATGGTGGTATACGCCAATGTACGCGTTATATGTAGTGTATGTACGTCCACATTGAAAGCTGTGTACGCGCGCGAGTGTCGTTTACGTCGCGGGACTTGCGGGTTCCCATGTCCTTTGACTGTTCGAGAGAAGGTGGCACCGCGCCGTGGCTCGACCGTTGAGATGTGGTGGACGACGCGTAGCGTAGCCTGGCGGGATCGTCGACGGCGAATCGACAACTAAATAAAGAGAAATAAGGACGAGGTGGCCGACGACCGCCATCCAACAGACTCCCGCGGGAGTCCCGTGTCCACATTAATCGCCTTGTCAAAGCCCAGTCAAAGCGAGCCGATCGGAGCAAAAGGAGGAGTCGCGAGTAAGGTAAGGATATTTTTCATGATGAATCCCGTTCGATCGTAAGCGTGAAATCCTTGGATAAGGCATAATATAGCATAATATACAACTCCGATTTCGTGAATGACGTGAATTCGGAATAAGGTTATGTTTTTACGCGAGCGTTTTTTTTCTACTCAAGGCAGAACCGCGCATATCGCTGTTCGATAATTGCAGTATCCTAAGTAATGTGTAAACAGGAAGAATTTTCACTTTTTTGTGATCGCAATACACGTTGTGATTGCGCTTGATCGTGGTTGGTAGCATTCACCTATTATGCCGTGTCTTGCGAGAGATTTGGAGGAATGCGTGTGAAAAAATTTCGTGAGAGCAAGTCTCACATATGTACGTAACAAAAATACATAATAAACGACAAAAGACTCTGACATTTGAACATTTGGCGTAAAAATGTTTATTTAAGAGGATGTATTACGCACATTTTCACAAATACAATATGTTAATATTTAAATAAATGAAAGTTGTATAACATTAAATAACATTATATTTTTATTTAGCAATATACTTGTCTAATTTATTTCCTTTGTTTTTTATTATTTTTATTATTATAATACTATAATTTAAAAAATAATGACAAAAATCTTAATTGTTTTGTGTAAGTACTTTAAACGATCAAAACGATTTATGCTTAAAGTTATCATGATACAAAGATTAGTTGTTTTGTAAATAATTAGAATAAATTAATATGTTTTATTTACAACAATTAATCTCTATTTACGATAAAATTTTACATAAATCATATTGAATAATTAAAACATTTATAATGGATTTTAAATTTTTATCATTATTTCTTAATTGCAATTCCATTAAAGTACATGTAATAGTACTTCTTTTTTTATTGAAATAATTTTTGCAGCTTCTAAATCATTATTAAATTTTTATGTTACTTTTAATTGCGATCTAGAATTAATGTGTAATCTTTTCGTAAAAACATTTCGAGAGAGCTCGTTTGTTAATATTCTTATTAATGCTAAATTGTTGTTTTTTAGATTGTTATATGCATTGTACGTTCACAATGGAATACATTCATAATGATATCTTAAGATATCGATAGCTTATCTTTACAATTACTAATGCGCAAATTCCATTGCAAATATAGGTTTTTTTTTAATTTATTCTTTTTTAAAGTTTATTCTAATGAATTTTTTTTCGATTTCAAATTTTAAGACAATTATTGCATTATTGTATAAATAATATTTATTGTTCCTCTAAGCTCTTATAAATTATTATTGTCATTTTCTTTGAATATATTCTATCCTCATTTTTAAATTTAAGAAATTTAAAACGCTTAAATGCATTCCTATCGCTTCTAATAGCCTATTAATTATAAATTTTTAAATATATATTTCCAAGTCCAATTCCTAAATTTATCTTTCACTCCAAATGTTAAACGAATTATACATATAATTTTATTATCTGTCAGTACAATCGTCTTGCTCTTATTCTTTAAATTTAAAGATTAAATATTCATTTAAAGATTAAATATTCCAATCGCTTTTGGTGTCCTATCGATTTCAAATTTTAAACGCGCTTCTAAACGAGTATCTAAATTTCTAAATTTAATTTCATATCAAAGTCTAATTGAATTACCATTCTTACCATCTTACCATTCTTTTATTACACACTTTAAAAAATATCGATATGCATTTAATATTATGCGGTGATTTGTATTTAAAAAAAATTGCATAAAATTAAAATCTCTGATTTATATTAGCCATTATGGAGTGTGGATTTAAAAAGCTACGATATATTAATATTAACATCAAATACAGTGAAAATTATGTATAAGACACTGTTTGTGTGTTGAATCGATATTTTTTAAAGTGCATTCTTACTCAAAACAAAACTTTATTTTTTTTTTTATATATTATAAAATTGGAGAAACGACACATACGCAAATAATTACTTGTTTCAAATATTTTGAATTTTTAAGAAAGTTTATACCTACAAATCTATCATATGTTTATTACAAGAATCAAATTTATTCAAAATATATTCTGAAGTTAGTATAAGTCTAATATTTTCGATTAAGATTATTAAATTAACAATTCAATTTGCTTACTAATCATATAAAATAATTTCGATTTTATAATATTCTTCAAAAGAAAATCTTATTTTGAATACATATATTAATATTTTTTTATAAAATTTATGATAAGTACATTTTAAGATTATTATCAAGAAAATATTTTTTGTTAAAGATAATTATTACTAAAAGAAAGAAAGGAAATTGAGTATTACTTTTTTTTAGAAATAGAATGATATTTTTCTAAACTTAATTTTATAGCAAATGCTAATCATTATTTATTATCTCGTTTATCATTATATTCGTTTTGCTCTCATTTTTGCATTTACAAACTCAACTTTTCAATAATTTCTGATGATTATACTTCAAATTTCAAAACACGCGCTTTTCCACGCATGTGTAAAACATTTCTAAATTTAATTTTATATCAAAAGCTAATCGAATTATGCCATCTTGTCATTTTATTTGTCATTATACTCGTTCTCGCATTTAAATTCAGAATTCTAATCGCTTCTGGTGCACTCGACTTTCCTACGACTCTGATTGTCATCTATATATGCATAAAGCCAATCGCTACTAGCTAAGCAACCAATCATGCTCCACGGGCGCTATACATCGACAGTTCACCGCGACTATTATTAAATTTGTCCTTAACAATCGTCAGGACTATCGCTCGCGGATTGCCAGCTCGTATCACGGAGTTAATTCGCGTCTTTCGTGCAGTGCCGCGTAACATGTTCGACGAGGCATTTAAATCGAATATCTCGCTCGTCTCGCTTCGTCTCGCCTCGTCTCGCCTCACCTCGCTTCGCCTCGCGAAATCGCACGGTGAAAGTCGACCGGGAGCGACTTTAAAGTAACGCCGATTTTCGAATGGACGAGAGAGGGAGTGAAAAAGCACACCTTCGGTAAGTGGCCGTTTCTCGTGACTGTTACACCGCATACCCGAAAGAGGTGAACCACCGGCAAAATTTTATGTATTCGCGCCTGAAGCTGAAACGGCTGAAACTTAGCCATCCGATTTTTGATTCGGCGCATTTTAGCACGTGTCAGACTTAGCGTTATTATTACTTACAAAAACAACTTGTTATTATTATTTTATAGCAAAATAACTGTCACAATTTGAAATATAGGTTTTCTCTAGAAATCTGTTAACTCCACACTTCAAAATATCGTATTTCTAAATAAATATCGAAATTTAATTGCATATTAACATTGCTTATTAACATTTGTCATTATGGTTATACAGTTATTGTCATTATAGTTATACAGTTTTTGCAAAAAAAAAACAAAAAAAACAATTTGCGAGTTATATTCTTTCGTTATTGAGTTTGGACTATTGTTGGTATGCAGTTATTTACAACTTTATTAGTCACACTGTTTAGCCGTGATAAATGTTTAGCTAGGCGTTATGTAACATACCCAGTTGTTGTTATTATGTTTGTTTTACCTTTTGGCGCTGTTATACTTGTTGCTAGATCAGCTGAAACACGAAGATAAACGCATACTAAATTAGTATTGAGCTTTTACATGTAAACAACGTAGTTTATATATGTTAATATCTGAACGATGGTCTATAAACGATTCAAATAAGCGAATAATAATTAAAAAAAACAGTCGTTAGTTCTTTCTGTTTTTTTTATTATCGCCGATAAAATATAGCTCGCATTCTTTATATTGCGACCATCACTCAAGTCTGTGTTTCATCACATGGTTACAAAAGAAATTTTAAATTCTGTTTGAATGTAACATTTTTTAAAAATGATATTCTTTTCAAAAATCCATATTACATCACTATCGAATCTCGAACACTGTACACTATTTATTATGAAAAAAAAGTAATCGTAAATAAATGCTGTGTAAAAAGAAAATACATTTATAAACTTAATTAATTGCAGTATTTCATAGAGAGAGATAATGTCGTTAAGTTTGTACTATTTCTGGCAGAAATATAACTTATACTTATCTTTTCAAAAGTTTTAAAAAAGTAATTTGGATTGATATCGATCTAATTCATAGATTATTATTATCACAAAGAAAATGATAAATATCACAAACACGCCTGTCAATGCCTCATTATAAGCTATGAGTAAGCCTCGATAAGATAACACGAGAGTATCTCGATTATAATTGCACATGGTTATTTTCTTGCACGGAAAATTAAATACATCCACACAAAAAGTTTATATTTATAAGCTTTTTTTAGATTAATATATTAGGTCTATTCTTTCTCAGCTGAACTTTTTACATAGTTCTTTTTCTTTCTACGGAGAAAAAAGAGAAAATAAGAATAATGCAAGAAATTCAGCTGAAGAGAACAAGCCTTGTCTGCCCAGCGAGTTTTATATGTTTTGTATATGCCATAATGAAATTTTTTTATCATAAGTTAAATATTAGTAATAAATAGTGGTACACGAAAAAAAAAATGATTTTGCTGAAGTATATAAAAATTGAACTATTTAGATACAAATCTGAAAATAATTTTGTTAAATTATGAAAATAATCATGAAAATAATTATGTATAGGATATTCAAACTAATTGCTAGAACCCTAAAATTTTCTGTAGCCTTGCTCATTATGCTTGAAATTCTTATGTATAATTATTTTGATGTTCTAATGTAATTATCTTCAGATCTGTATTTATTGTTAGCTAAATTTATTAATCTTTCAGCAAAATCGTTCTGTGTACTATATATCTTTATAAATATTGTGTTGAATAATACACTTTACATTGTTATTTAGCTGTTTATCAATAAATCTGTTCTTTTCAGCTGAATTTCTTGGACTATTCATCTTATCTCCTTTTTTTCCAACATGAAGAAAGAAAGAGGAAAGATAAACCAGCAAAAATTTAGCTAAAAATAAGATTTATTAAAAATTTCATTAGATGATTGCTTTTTTTGCAAGCGTTTAAAAAAAAATTTAATATCGTCAATTACTACAGTGACTAAGGCATTATTGAAAAATCAAGCATCAGCCGTGAATTATCATCAATAACCAGTGTAGTAACAATGATCAATTTATTTTATTTTTCTATTGATTTTTCTTTATTGAGATCAATTTATTACGTTTCTGCGAATTGTACATTTAATTTCAGGATATATAGATCATTGTATAATAATTTACTTACG